CATTTCTGATCCACAACAATACAGACACACCCATGTATTAAAACACAATAACTATAAACAAGCACTCATTCAAACACCAACACTGTACATTACACTATACATTACACTATAGCACCAGTAAATGTTGCAGCGTTATACAGATATACAATCTAAAAATTTTGACTTGGGGTGCCTTAAACCTAAAAATAGTGAATTATTAAGGGCGCATTGAACCAAAAAAGTTTGGTAACCAGTGGTTTAGAGAATAAACAATAAAAATTGGAAGAACAGTACTGAGGCAAATTGTTTAGCAATGGTTTGCCCACTTATCTGGGTCCTCGCTGGGCTCTGAGGCTCCTACCATGACGAACTTATGATTTTGGCAGAGATACAGATCCAGCCATAATTTATTGGTACATTGTAGCAATATACAATCTAGAACAATATGAATACAGCTCCTCCTATAGCATAATATTTTATTGTAACTTTTTAATACAAGCAATTAAAAAAGGAACACTAATGCAGGGTACTCACAAAAATGTGCAGACAGGAAATAATCATAATTCCTTTTGTAATCAACGAATCCATTGCAAACACCAGACCTCAGCTGCAGACTTTTCGCCACAGTCTTCTGCCAACCACATTCTCCAACAAACCAATACGTTAGGAGTATGGAAGCCTTGAGAGAGCAAGAGAGTGCAAGAGTTCAAGGAGTGGTCTGCTAATCATTCAAACTCCTATGTTTCTACACATTTCGTAGGTCTGTACCCACTTCCTCAGGGAGACTGAACAATAACCACGTAGTTAAATACTTTCATGTCTTATTTTAAAAAGACATGAAAGAGTGACTTGTTTAGTATTGTATGCTGTTTTCACTGATACTTAGCACTATATTACAAAATGGCAACAAAGCTTTATAGTCTTCTTTACAAGTCTACAATGCTATAACCAACTGACACCACTCTAGGCCCACTTAAGCTTATTTGACCTCATTGATATTAGAGCTACATCTGATATTGATATTAGAGCTTAGTTAAGGGTCATTGATGATAATTGACACTGCATACACAAACCACTGGCATATAGAATGGTGCGTCACTGGCTAGATGGCAACCATCTAGATAACTGCCTCCCACTAAACCCAGGCCAGGGTGGATGCTTCTTAATATTATTTTTCTGGCTGTTAGGACCTATATAGTTAGGGAACATAATTGTGTATAGTCAGGGCCAGTGTATTAATTTTGCTATCTTTTTGCAGGCCTATTATGTGAAACAATCGTCTCACAGTATAGTGAGTTAGGCATTTATGCAAATTAGCATTGCTTCATCGTTTTATGTTTCATTGTGGTTTTTCTTTTTCTTTAAAAATAAAAAAAGGGGTATGCCGCATTTCAATGCATACCTTATGATTGAACCGTTGTCTCTCACACATTGTCATATGCACCGTTATATTTAAAAATGTGCAAAAAAAAAAGAAGGGGAAGAGAAAAAAATAATAATGGTGCAGTATCATCTTAAGAAATTACCCTGCCTGCATTAAAATATCTCTAAGCCTGTTCATATATAAACGTTACATTTTTAATTTGCCTAGCATGTACTATAAATGTTGAACTTCAACCTACATTATCACCACAGACAGTAAGAAAAGCTTGCATCTTATACTGTGTTTTGTCTCTCCGCTGTCTATGCCTCCTATCATTATAAACTAAAAAATTGTGCTGTCTATTCATACGCCATGTCATGCTTATAATGCCTGTTATTCCATGCACAACAAAAATAAAGAATTATAAATAAATAACAAATACCAAATAAAAACTAATAAAAGAAATGCAGCATATGTAATAAATAGTTGTACTATATATGTTGTGTTGTTTTTTGTTAATAAACAAAAGTAAATAAAGAAAAAATAACATGATATAATTATTTTTAAAAATATTTTTTTTATATATTATAGTGCACTTAAATGAGAAATTTTGAATATATTCAAACAATAAGTATAAAGAGATAATCTTTCTGATTAAAAGCTTTAATCCAAAAAGTTAATATACAAGAATAAAACACAGCTGTAGTAGAGTAATATTTGAAGCATTTAGCAAATAAAACCTCACAATTTGTACAAAAACATTATTATTGTTATTATTATTTATAAAACTCCACAAAGCTGTACAATGGGTGGACAGACAGACAAGTAGTTGAAACCAGACAAGATGAACACACAGGAACAGTGGGGTTGAAGACCTTGCTCGATGAGTTTACAGGCAAGATGTTTTGGAGTACAGTGACACAAAATATTTTGATTGATATGCCTTCCTGAAGAAGTGAGTTTTCAATGATTTTTTTAAAGGACTGCAAACTGGGTGAGATTTTAACAGAAAAGGGAAGGGAGTTCCACAGGAATGGTGCAGCTCTAGAGAAGTCTTGAAGGTGAGCATCAAATGTGGGACAGAGGACCGACATAGGTCTTCGGCAGAGCGTATGGGCCTAGATGTGACATACTTGTGTATTAAGGAGGATAGGAAGGTTGGAGCAGCAGTGTGTAGAGATTTGTAAACAAGCACCAGAATTTTAAATTGAGCCCTATATCTCATGGGAAGCCAATGTAGGGACTGACAGAGGGTGGAGGAGTGGAAGGTGCAGGCGGACAGGAAATTTAGCCTTACCACTAACTTCATTATAGTCTGTAACAGGACAACTTGGGAAGTAGATTTTAGTAATCAAGGTGAGAGAAGATAGCAGCAAGAAGCTGCACCTTAACCAAGTCAGGCATTAAATAGAGGCAGATACTGTTTTAAATGGAAGTGGCAGGATATGGCTATTGACTGGACATGAGAGGCAAAGATGAGGCCAGAATCAAAGAGAACACCTAGGCAGCAAGCCTGCAAGGTAGAGCTAATTGTAGTTGACTGATGTTGACTTAGAGGGAGACAGATATAACACTTGAGGGAGGAAAGATCAGAAGGTTTGTTTTGGACAGGTTAAGTTTAAGGAAGTGTGCAGCCATCCAGTTGGAAATAACAGAGAGGCAGTCAGTGACATGAGTCAAGAGAGGACAAATATTTTTGCGTGTCATCCGTATAGAAATTAAATTGGAAGTCAAAGAAGCTGATGAGTTTACCAAGGGAGGCAGTGTAGATCGAGAACAGTAGAGACCAAGTACTGAGCTTTGGGAAACACCAACAGAGAGGGGTTGGAGAAAAGAGGCAGAGCCAGAGAAAGAAACATTGAAACAGCACAGGGAGAGGTAGGAGGAGCACCAAGAGAGAGCAGGCAGTATCTCATAAAGTGAGATTGTGGAGGATGAGAAGAAGCTGTTGATAATCAATAGTGTCAAAAGAAGCAGAAAGGTTAAGGAGAATTATGATAGAATAGTGACCATAAGACTTTGCAGTGATTAGATCATTGGATACTTTGGTCACAGCTGTTTCAACAGAGTCACAAGCGCAGGGCTCAGTCTGAAGTGAATCAAGCAGAGATTTAAATTGGAAGTAGTCTGACAATCTTGCATACACAACTCTCTCAAGGAGCCATCAGAGAGCGTGCACTCATACATAGCATATTTAAACTCTACCATTACTGTATTCTACCTCATTGGACCAAGATTTATAACAACAGGTGGTGATTGTACTGCCCAAACTAGTTTATAGCTTCAAACACGGTAAGTGCATTTCATACCATACACGCATACTGACGTCAACGTGCAGTATGTGCCAGGTAACAGGTTAATTGGTGAAGGACTCGCCACCTTTAAAGTTCGCTAGCATAAAAATAGCAGACGCCGAAAAAATCTAAAACGTATCATTTTCATTCAGAGTGGGAAGAGGAATATTTTTTTGTTGACTCAAATTCAAAGTCCATTTGTCTCATTTGCAATCTCAGCGTTGCCATACTGAAAAAGGGCAATCTGGAGCGGCATTCCAGAACAGAGCCCAAAATCTATGAGAAAGATTTTACTGCTAAAACTGCACTACGCATTCATAAAGTGCAGGAATTGAAGAGACAGCTTGCAGCAAGGCAATCCATTTTTATGAGGCCCAACACGAAGGATAAGGCGGCCACCATCGCATCATATCGAGTCAGTCATGTTCTTGCTAGACATAAAAAGTCTTTCAGGGATGGCGAAGTTGTGAAAGAAGCGTTCATTGAGGCTGCAGATGCACTCTTTGGTGATTTTAAGAACAAAACAGAGATTGTTGCGGCTATTAAGGACATGTAATTATCCTGGAATTCTGTTACACGGCTATGTGAGGTGATGGCGTGAGTGTTTTTCCCTCCAGTTCCATGAGTCGACTGATATAGTGGATGTGGCTCAGTTATGTGTTTTCATCAGAATGGTTTTTGACAACATGAGTGCCAAAGAAGAGCTGCTCACAGTTTTGCCATTGACACACAAGAGGCGAAGATGTTTTCAACGCTTTCATGGAGTTTGTTAACTGCCTCTTTTCAAGCTCATCTCCATCACAACTGATGGTGCTCCAGCAATGGTAGGCTACACCAGTGGGTTCATTGCATTGTGCAAAAAAGTGAATCTTTCCCGGGCATCCTTAATTATCACTGTATTATTCATCAGCAAGCATTGTGTGGGAAGATTTTAAATATGAAAGAAGTCATGGATGTTGCTATGAAAATACTGTGCTCTGTTCGGGCCAGGAGTCTACAGAAAAGGTTATTCAGGGCTCACTTGGAGGATACAGGTGCAGAACACACAGACCTACTGCTCCACATAGATGTAAGAAAGCTCAGCCGAGGTAAATTTTTGGGAAGGTCAGTGAGTTGTTGCCTGAAATCAAAGATTTTCTGAAGCTTTCAAAACAACCAGAATATGCACATCTTGAGGACTACCAGTGGCTTAAGGACTTAGCGTTCCTACAGATCTCACTGACATGCTCAATGATTTGAATTTAGAGCTCCAGGGTCAAAATAAACATGTAACCAACATGATTCATTCAGTGAATACATTTAAAAGCAAGCTGCAACTGCTTTCAAGTAGGCTGCAACACTGTGACCTGCAAAACTTTCCTCACATGCAGGCAGAACTCCAGTGTCATGGCAAAGATTCTGCACAGCTTGTCAGTGCATGTTATGAGGAGCAAGTTCAGATCATCTTGTCAGAATTTGAGAAGTGTTTTACTGACTTTACATCCATTAAGCCTGTTGCCAGCTATCTGTGTTTTCCGTTTGGGGAGGGCATTGATGTGGATTACATGGCTTCCAAAGTAGCAGCACTGTTTGAACTGGATAACTCTGCCGTTGAGAGTGAGATTCTCACACTGCAAAATGACATTGAGATGGAATCCAGGGCAACACCTGGCAAGAAAGGAGACTTCTGGAACCTTCTGATGGAACAAAAATATCCCAACCTCAGAAGATGGGCTTTGAACTTGACTGCACTTTTTGGATCAACTTATTTGTGTGAGACTGCTTTCTCTCACATGAAAATCATCAAGTCCAAGTACAGATCCACAATGACAGACATTCACCTTGTGGCCTGCCTAAGGTTTGCAACCAGCTCCTACTGCCCTGCCTACGAGAAACTAGCTGCCTCCTCCTAATGCCAGAAGTCCCACTGAGGTAGGGAAATACATTTATTGCCACAGTTTTGCAAACTACTTTTTATGATATCTGATTAGGTTTTCTATTTATTGTATGCATGTTAAATACACTAATAGGCAATGGACATGGCTTCCTATGTGAACTGGTAGATCTCCACGGGCTGGTAAATTTAAAAGTAGATCCTGGTTCAAAAAAGTTTGGGCACCACTGCTCTAACATATAAGGCCCTCAACAACTCTGTTCCTGTGCGTCCATTTGTCTGGTTACAATTACATGTCTGTTAGTCCACCCATTGTTTAGCGCTAAGGAATTTGCTGGCGCTATATAAGTAATAAAATAATAATAATAATATAAGGTAGAATATGGCAGTATTAGATTACAACAACCACAATTGAGATAATTTCTAAGTGACTATGTCTTAGAATGATGGGATTATGAATCAACTCAAGAAATTATCTACCTGTATGGGACAGCATACATAGCAAGTAATGTAGAAATAACAGTAGTACACAGATAATGCAATCAGCTTTTTATTCATAGGGAAACAGTAATCCAGCAATACCCAGTCAAATTCTGAATGAATTATGCAAATTACATTTATGCATCTATCCTCTAGAAATTAACAGATACTGCAACAAATGACCAGCAAGGATAAAAGCAGTTAATACAAAACTGATAAGGAATTATCTGATTACACAGTGCCACCAAAATCAAATAACTCAATATGTAATTGTTATAGTGAACAATACCACTCAAAATATAGTCACTTAAAAAGACCTGTAGATGTTACTAGGAGACAGCAACGTAAAGGAGCCCCAAAGGGAGGGCTCTACTAACTGAATGCACTGCAGTAAAATAAAGGAGATGAAAAAAGGTGTTACAGTAACCAGAATAAGGAATAATAAAAAAGAAGGTAGAGGACAACCAATTGTTAAAATAAGTATTACAATAAATACACAAAGACAGTAATATAAAATCCACAGCAACCCATTAAGAGGAGGAGGCAGTGGTACTCTGACCTGTGCTGGTGAGGAGCAGCAAAGAAAGAGGAAGTACTAAGTGGGGATTGGGAGTATTATTGTATCTGACTTTTTTTTCTGATTGGTTGATTATCTCTGTGTGAATGTGCTGCTGTGGAGTTCTAGTAAAGAGGTAACTTTAGCAAATATGAAGCCTCCTGTCATGTAATAAAATTGTAGTAGATCAAGTATTCAGAATACAGCAAAAAGCAATAAACCAGATGTTGGCAGGCAGATAAAGTGAATAATGCAGTTATGCTGTGTAACTAGCATCAATTTAACTATCTCACTGCTGGCTACAGTTTTCACTGAGAAATCAATTTAGAACACTTGTGAAGCAAAATGGAATGTATCAATACCTTATTAGCTATTTCAACATAGTTAATATGATATAACCATTTTTTTTCACCATTCAGAACCCAGGAATCTTAAGCAGTTTAAAAATCCTTCAATCTGTTTCACTGCTACAACTATTTAACAGTTATCGGAAATTTACATTTTGAATATTACAACTGATTGCAACTTTTGGGAAACAAGTAGTTTAAGATTACAACCTATCCCTTTTGACTATACTTCATGTCTGTTGTTCCCTACAGGTAGTTATTAAAGATATGTCTTATGTGTCTGGATAATAACTTGATATGCTAAACTTGGCAATTAACCAATGACTCAATATAAATTAATAATCACAGCTGCAGTCTAATATCATCAATCTACTGATTTAATTTTAGGCTAGATATGATTCTAGAAGTTTTGGAATCTGAATCAGCTATTATCCAGGTATATTCATTTTTTGGAACAATTGGCACAGACACGCTACTGGAAGCCCCCCTTCTATGCTCACCCCAAAGCAGATTCCACTCCACTCGCTCCACGTGCCCTGGGCAAATGCCGGCTGCTCCTACAAACAGCTATTTATCAGCCCTGTCTTCGCTGGTGATGCAGACATGCTTGTGATGTCACGTTATCGATGGACACACACGTTTTGGCGCCACTGAGTTAATTCTGACCAATCTTCGCCCCAATAAGGCCATTTCAACTTACTAGTTCTTTTCTGTAGAAAAAATAGTGTGGAACCAAAGGTCCCTAAGTGGAAGAGTTATAAATAAAAGGGAAGTCCCTACCTTTAATAATCCTAAGGGTGTAGGCAATTAAAATAGACAGGGAGGAAAGATAGGGCAAGGGAATAGATGTGTGAAAACACATACAGGTCCAAACAACTACTTGCAGAGAAATAGCCCAATTCTAATAAAGTTGGGTCAAAAAAGCTCCAAACTGTAAGGTTGTAAACAGATAGGTAATTAGAGGAATAACAGAGGAAGGAAAAAGGGGAAAGGGGAATGGGGAGGAACACTTCCTAACTGAATACCTCGGCACAGTGAGAATCACAAGTGCCTACCTATTACCCTTCTGCCTACCTGACTAAAGTAGCTAAAAATCGAATTAATTAAACTAATCCATAAGTGCTACCCAAGTGAACAAACTGTAAAGAAAATAAATAAATAAATAAATAAAAACTCGACGCGCGTTTCAGCGTTCTAACACGCCGTCGTCAGGAGTAGTAAGCCTCTGCATAACTTTGTGCTCGTTTATATGGGGATTGTAGCAATCAACTTGAAACAGTTCACCTGTTGTGTGTCCACGCCCCGCCGTCTTGTCGGCCCATTGATTGGTCAAGAAAATGCCGTATTTGGATTGGGCCATGTGACTGGGGGGTGTTGCGGTTGATTGGGTGATACCCACGTGGGTGCAACCGGCTGCATATGGGGGGAGTGGCTTAGTGGTGTCAACTGGTGACACGGCTGTCAGTCTTAGTGAGACCTCCCATGTACCGTGCGGTCTGATTTAAGCATTCACAATCCCATAACGGGAGAATAATGCCGCATAGACAGGGAGTCACAAAGTGACACAGCCTCCCAAACTTAATGTGTCGAAACTGATAACCAATCTCACAGCATCATGGCAATACCATAATTAGGATGTTGTTAAAAAGATTTTAAACAATGCACCCATTATTAAAGGAATATTACACAGGCCATGATCAAATGACAGGTATTTGGTTGCACCCAAACACAAATAAAGAAAATATAGAGAGAAGACTTGGTGGTGGGAATGCAATAGAGCTTACTGTAAATATAAAGAAACACAGCTTTATTGATCTCTACCACCCTACAGAGTAATAGGTAACAACCTTATAACTATCTGACAAGGTGGATACAAGAGACTATCAGATTTATGATTCCCTATATTGCATCCCACTGAATAAAGTCCTCATGTAAGAAGACAATGGTTATAATATATAATCAGATGTTCAGCCTACTTATTATATACTCAGGACTTGATAGGGATATACCTAACTATAGATTACATCTAAAAGAGAGAATAATCATAAAAAAGCAGTAAATGAAAAGCCCTCATTCAGTCCAGCGGGTGAGAGGGTCTTCAATCTATAGATCCAATAGGACTCACGTTGTCTCAGTTTCATATCCCAATCTCCTTTCCTTTGAGTCTGTGGAATATGCTCGATTCCCATGAACCTCAATTTTTTAGAGGAGTTTGAATGGTATATTTTTAAATGACGGTATATGGGAGTTTCAAGAGGTCTCCTAACTGAATTAACGTGTTCCCGGATCCGTAGTTTAAAAGGTCTAAATGTTTTCCCCACATATTTTATACCGCATGAGCAGATGAGTAAATAAATCACACCCTCTGTTCTGCAATTAAAAAATGATCGTACAGGGAAGACATCTGTATTATTACTGTCAGTGAATTCTTTGGAGTTCCTTTCCATAAATTCACATGCACTGCAATGTCCACATTTGTATGAACCCTTCGGTAGATAATTGTTAAGGCCCCTTTTCCGGGGTGCCAAGTGACTCTGTACCAGGGTATCTCGAAAATTACTCCCCCTCCTTGCCGTAACTGAGGGGAGAGAAGTAATTACATGTTTCAAATGTGGGTCGGACTTAAGGATCGGCCAGTAACGCCTGAGTGTATCCATCATATAGTCCCACCCCGCATCATATGTGGCAATGCATCTAATCAGTTTTTTATCTTCTGATTGTGCATTCTCATCAGTGAGGAGTGTGTCTCGGTCGGTTTTGATGGCTCTAGCGTATCCCCTCCGTAGAACCCTATTCGGATATCCCTTATCCTTGAAGGCTTTCCTTAATTCCCAGGCTTTGGTCTTAAAGTCCTGTGTGGACGAGCAATTGCGTCTTAGTCGGAGGTACTGGCCGATTGGAATACCAGCCTTGAGTGGCTGTGGGTGATAACTAGTCCAGTTCAAGAGACTATTCGTAGCCGTATGTTTCTTGAACAAGGTTGTCTGTACCAGTCCCCCTTCCTTTATTGTGATGGTAATGTCTAGGAAGTTAATTTGGTTACCACCTAGCTCACTAGTAAATCTCAAGTCAAAATCATTTTTGTTCAGGATTTTGACAAATTCCTCGAAATCCTTAATAGACCCCGTCCATACAATTAGTACGTCATCGATGTACCTTTTCCAGCATGCTATTGACTCTGAATATTTCCGTAAGTGTGGTACCTTTAGGATTTGATTCTCCCAGGTTCCTAAATAAAGGTTCGCATAAGAGGGGGCACAGGGAGTCCCCATAGCTGTCCCTTTTATTTGTTGGTAAATATTACCATTAAATAGGAAAATATTTTTAGTCAGTACCGTTCTGAGTACATCTGAGACGAAATCGATGTAGAGATGTGGGGACTGAAGCTCTTGTTCTAAAATGGTTTTGACATTATCAATACCTTTCATATGTGGTATAGAGCTATACAAAGATTCCACATCCAGGCTGCATAGCAAGGCTTGCTTTGGTATGGATAAGTCCTTCAAAAAGTTTAACATCTGCTTAGTGTCCCTTATATGAGAGGGTAATTTTGACACAATAGGGGACAAGATTTTGTCTAAGTATATACTCAAATTCTGAGTCAAGTTGCCGCATCCCGACACAATTGGTCTACCT